GTTAAAGTTTAAATTACAAAAAAGACACAAACACAATCCAGACTAAGTGAATAGACGGCACTCTGGTGTATAGTTAACTAGCGTATTTACTTCAAGACTAAACATTTTGTTACATGAATACCTAAAAAATTTAGTTTCTGAGAAGGAATAACAAATGTAAACTCATTGGCTAAAGGAATTAATGACTGCCTGTTAACTTTTGAAAAGTAACAAGATTACTAATGCAGTCATCATAAACTTAAAATACAAGAGGTGATAGAAGTCAGGATAACGATGTAGATGAGAAAGAGATGGGTAGAAGTCCTCATCCAAGGTTAATCTTGGGCCAGCATGTGTATGGCTTTGAACTGACGCAATGATAGTGCACAAAGAGTTCGTTAGGTCAGGAATGAGTTGTTTTTGGTACGCGGCATTTACATGCTGCATTACAGAATTTCATTAACTTTGAGAACATAAAAAGCTTCATAAATATAAGCCAGAGTATTTGGTTTGGTTTGATTCGAATTTCACGTAAAGCTACACGAGGGCTATCTGCTCTTCCCTAATTGATCCACGCCACAAATCCTTATATTAGGTCCTGTGTTTCCAATTTACTTATTTAATTTTCTCGCGAAGTACTCTACTTGTATCTCTCACATCACGGGTAAGGCAATGAGAAATTCTTTTATTCTCGAACACCTGGGCTTTCAATCCCGAATCCCTGCCATGATAATGATATTTGATTTTTCTATAATGATCTCCATTAAGCAATTATATCATTGTTTACTTATTTCAACCACATCATAGATTGAAACTTATCATCCAAACTTGAAACATGTATTTATAAAGAATAATTGGCAAACATTCATATAATATATAGCATAACATGCACAAACATTGAATATTTACCTGTCCGCCCTTTCCTTTATCTTTTAGTACTTTGTACTTACTTTCAATTTAAAAAGAAAAGTACTAAGCATCTGTCGTTATTCTGTTTTTCAGCCCATTTATCAGCATTTATTGATTTTATTTGTTCCTCCATCTATCTATCCTTCCATTCATTTATCCAGCAACCAATCCATTCTTATCTAACTTTTTGTTTATCAAACATAGCTATCAGATTTACGTATTGTATCAACTGCAAAGACACCTTCTTTACACCAAACAAAACTTCCTCCCTCCCCACGGTAGCTTAGGAGTAAGCTTGAAGTCTTATAATGCCAAAGTTTCAAAGTCAATTCCTTTTGTATACATAATATAGCTTTGTGGTTAACAGCAAACAAGCGCTACATAATATGGACATATTGATTTTGAAGCTGCAATCTTTTTCGTCTAAAAATCTTTGAGCCTAAACTGGTATCGTAGGGCAATGAATGAAATTTTTCAAATAGTTTACAAATAATTTTATTTCCTATCCAAAATACGTTACACAACCATACGTTTTATTACTGTGTTATATGAACACTTGTTACTGTTATTACTTTTTTATTATAATTTCACCGGAAATGCACGCTAATTATGAAACATTGAAAACTGGTATTTCTTACTGATCTCCTATGATTATTCAAATTCAGTGAAATAAAATAAAATAATAAGCGAATATTTTTCGTGTTATTTATCCACCACAACGTGGACAGCCTGAAGTAATCTATCAGATAAGAGTTCAGGTGGCACTGTCTCACCCGATAAACGTACAAACACTGTTAGCAAGTGATACTCGGAAATGGGTGAACACAAACACGTGGAGTTAAAAATAACTAGAAGTGTAAAGGTAAATATATATACAAATAAATGTAGTAAGGTAATTCATAAATGTTTTTCATGGGAAAATTAATGTTATTTTTATAATAACATCAAATCATTTCTCGGATTGTAAAAAACATTTATTCGCACTCCCTCTTACCTTGCTTCACAAATTTGGTTCACACCTTATTTAATAATGTACATTATAAAGATGTAGTTTCAGGTTCCTCTTTATATCTCTTTGCCCTCCAGTGGCACAGCGGTATGTCTGCGGACTTACAATGCTAGAAACCGGGTTTCGATACCCGTGGTGGGCAGAGCACAGATAGCCCATTGTGTAGCTTTGTGCTTAATTCCAAACAAACTAACAAAACTTTATATCTCAAACTTACAATCGAAAGCTATCGCGTATGCGAGAATTATACTTTGGCTTGTATTTGTAATTAATTTTCCCACTACTATCTCCAATTTTTTCTATTTCTTAAAAATATATCTATGGATTCATTTCTCAAGGTAAAAAACGTTTTAATACAATAACAGAGACTCATGAATATATCAATTTGGATTATATGCCAAAGTTGAGAGTGGTATTTGTATGAAACACTTATCTAGATGATTATGTCTCAATAATGCAGGCTTATTGTGAACATAGGAATTGAGTAATAACTTAGTTGCAAAAACATAAAACTTTATAGAATAGTGTAGCTGTAGAAGCATGAGGAAGGTCATCATCATCTCAATATTGAACAATGATTTAGTTAAAATTATTTTGCTTTTCTTTTTGTAGTAGTGTATATGGCTGTTTCGTTATTCGCCTTTCGTTATTTTTCCTCTCAGTATGTCAAGTACGTCTTCATGTTTCCAAAGCATCATGTTTGACACGTGATTTCATTAGTCTGTTACGTGCTGCCATTAATAAGAGAATCAGAGTTGAGAAACTTTTAATCAAACGATGATGTTGTTTTTATAAAGCAGACTTGTTTAACTACAGTAAATAAGCCAAAACATTGAATGGAAAATGTTACAATTAGTTAGGATTGTTGTTTAGAAATGTTACTAGTTTCGAAAGCATGAAAACGATTTAAGAAGCACCACGTGAAGGACACGTTTTGAAAATTTACGCAATTCTTCTTTATTGCTTTTATTACGTTCAGACTCACTTCAGTACATCTAGTAACCGGAATGAAATACAGAAAATATGTCTTTTCATTTTACTTTTAAATTATACTTTTCGCAGTGTGTTGACATTCTTAGTAGTTTCCTATGGACTGCTCCTTCCTTCTATCAAGTTGTGGAGATGACGTTTCGGGCTCTGTGCAGATATAGTACTCAGCACAGACGCCAAAACGTCGTCTCCAAACTAGGCAGAAGAAACGAACAGTTCACAGGAAATGGTGTTTTAATCTTACATCCAAATTAATATCACTTTAAACCATGATTCTGGACTTATGTATTTTAGTAAAATAATATTTTTAAATATGTGAACAAACCACACCGAAGGTTACAATTAATATTTTTTTAAAATAAAATCACTTAGAACTAATCTATTTCAGTTAATATGTAAATTTTAAACTACAAGCGATTTTTTAACAATTAAAGCAGATTTCATTTCATATTTAACATTTTCTGATATTTCAAAAAAATGCTAAAATACTCTTCAAATGATCCCTATTCTAGATCTTCTGATATTAACGACAGTAGATGAACATCCCGAAGCCAAGCAGGAGAGTCACAAGTTCCAAAAAGATTCGTGGTAATTTCAAGACTTTCGTAAATCCACCGGATTTTGGCGTCACAAATCAGTTCGTTTCCTGATCGTATAAATTAAACGTAGGTACATTTGTTAATGAAAATAGAAAACATAATATAAAAATGAGATACGATGTCATTTCACAATTGCCTCTGTTATCGTTTTTGAAGCTTTCCAGTAAGTCGGAAATTCTAGCTGTAAAGTTTCATTGCAACTTAAAAACGTTAGTACGTAAATGCAAAATATCCCCCAGGGAAATAAAACGTATAATATCCTAAGTTTGAGCTCTTACCATCGTATGTTGAAAGTAAAAACAAAGACGATGCTTTTGGTAAAATGAAAGATAAAGTCTTTATTAGTTCTTTGAGCCAACTAATTTCGGTAACATGGTCATCATTATCAGTTCCTGATGGTGGTAACTGTGTTAACGAAACTTTATATTTCATTGTACCAAGAGCATCGTTTTTGTTTTTACTTTTAACATACAGTAGCACAATGTGTCTGATTATTGTACCTTTGTCTTGAAATATTTTTCTTATTAAAAAAACAATCTTATTATAAACATTTAATACATTATCGACAGTATATAAAATTGTGCGTGCTTAAAGCGTTATTGTTAGTCAACTATAATAAAAGAATCACTAAAGCTGATTTTCTATTGCATTCCAATATTGGAGAAGACATCTAATGTGATCTTCTTATGGTTAATAACATTTTTACTACTTAGAAATAATATATCTTATAATTGGGTAATTTTCTTCAAATTGTATTCAGCTTTTTATAGTTAATATATTAATCACCAAGCAATATATTTTGTCAAACTTACTGACTTGTACATAATACCATTCACTACTGGTGGGGTCCACATGTTATAATACTTATTACCTCACTCATTGCAAATATATAACCAAATAAATTGGGTGAAATAACTTGTTTTCAATAAATAGTATTTAGTGAGATTAAGTGCACTATTGACGCAGGGCCATATTAAGGTTGGGGCAGAAGGGGCAGCTGCACCAAGGCCCTGACTACTTGGAAACTCCCGACGAAAAGAAATATTGAACTTTTTATGCAATGTATGCACTCGCATTTATTAGGGTGAGGGGACAAATGCTATTCTACTGCCCAAGGTCCATCTGTATTGACAGAATTTTTGCTTAAAATTTTTTGTATCTAATATGTTACTACAAGCTCTGTAACAAACAACCATGTAACCAATTTGATGCATAAATAACATATAAAAGTATAGGATAAAAAAGCAATGAGATCCAGATCCGTATAGGCCCCATCGGTAGCTTTATTTCTTTTCAACATCATTGCTGAAGGGTGAAATCTACCTCTTACATTTCTACTCTCATACCAATTAAAAATAAAATATAATCATTTATTTAGTGTATTCATTCACCATTAGCAATGCCACTATGTAACGTTTAATAAATATATTTATTCTCCACCGCTCTTATCAAACATCATTGGATATATGTTTTAACTATACTATTTCTACTCACCCATTAGTGACACAGTATGTAGTTGATGCCATACAGGATACCACACCTGTTTAGATATTGTGGTCAGTTTATTGTGCTCTAACCTCACTTGTTTAATATAAGGCATTTCAGCGAAAAAGTCGTTTGGCAAGTGTTTAATATAGTTGTAGCTAGAAAGAGTAATGGGAAAACGTCAGTAAAAAAGAAAAAAAAGAGGCATGATAAAAACAAGAAGAAATAACTAATTATTTGGGCAGTACGAGTACGTATTCCAAGATTATATTCCTACGTTATAATTATGTTCGATTACGTCAATAAAAAATTATCTAACTAGTGAGAGCAGTTAAGAATATTTGAAAATGACTAAAACTGTTATACAGATTATTTTGTTGTGCTCACGCGAAACTTCAAAAAATACTCAAACAGCAGGGAATTGGGTTTTGATTCCCGCGATGAGCAGGGAACAGATAACCCATTGTGTAGCTTTATGCTTAATAACAAACCAACTATTTGTCTTTGCGTATACACAGCCTGCTAAGTTCATGCTCCTGATGTTTCGGCACTCCTGAAAACATAGTTACTGTATTGTCCCTAATTAACGGCCCCTCTCTAATTATCGCTCCCCCCACACCGGTATTTTTACAAAGCGTACCTTGTGTGACAGCCTTGATAAAATAGTTAGCACAAAGGATCACATATAAAGTGTAATAAACTTAAAATTAGACCCAAAACTCGAGCGCTTTCGAATAGTTGACTATTCTTCTTCTGGAGCAATAGTAATCCAGCATATAATCCACTTTTATCACAGTAATTTTGATTTAAAAAAAAAGAAGAAAATAAACACACACACTTATTAGCGTTGAAATAAAAAAATCACATTTTCTTCGTAATGAATAAATAAATAACACATACACAAAAGTGGTTTCGAACAGAAAAAGCGCCAATGGAAATATTATGTAAAAAGATAAAAAGCAACAATATTGATAACTAACCTCATATCCAGATGTGTTAATTTACATACAGAAGGAAATAAGTTCCTATGTACTGTCTGAATATTATTTTCTTTCACGCTTAAACTTTCTAAGTCTTTTAGATTTGAGAAAAGTCCAGTAACTAAATCTGAAATATTGTTTTCGACCAGCTCCAAGACCTGTAAGGTATCTGGGAAAATGTGCGATGCTAGATTTGGCAAATCGATGTATAAAAGAAACAGACGTTGAATCCTTTTAAAACTTTGCAAACGAAGACCATCTAGACCACCAGCAAGCTCTCCATTCGAAATAAAAAGTTCGTTTAAGGTTTTCCCCATGTCAACTGAGTCTGATTTACCGTCAAAAGAAATTGAAGTGTCTTCCAGTATCAGTTTAGATACATTCATATTTTGAAACCATTTCCACTGAACGTCTTTCATATCAGAAGCTCTAAATATTAGTTCACTTATATGAATATTGTGGTAATTTTCAAGAATTACTTGTATTTGTTTCTTGATTATAATATCAGAACAACTGACGATAACCCTGTTTTGTCGAATGTTGCATTTGCATAGATCATAGACGGGATTTGGACAATAAGGGTCAGAGCCCGTGCAAAAAACTATTACAGCGGCCAGTGTCAAAACAGTCCAAACTGTGTACGTCATCATGAAGCGATGCTTCTAAAAAATTAAAGAGAAAGAGAAACAAATTATCGAAATTCATCATCAATAATAAAATGCGAATTCTGCGACGCAAAACAAAGAGTTTAATCTTGTTGCAACAGTGAAAAATTGTAAGAAACTTTTCTAACACATAACTTTAATTAATTAGAATTTTCATAAGCCAGTAGTATTAAGTTTATGGTATTTTTTAACGTTATTTATTCGGCCCCTTATGACAAATATAATAACGCTTTGTCAGTTTAAAGGCGGCGTTGTTCATACCATAACAATTGTTATTCCAACAAATGGCGTTTTGCCCATTTCTATATTTGTTGTATCCTATCCGACCTGATATGCTCTGGTATTGAGCAAACTGCAATTATTCTCTGAAAAACCCTAAGAGTTCGAGTAAAGCTATAAAAAGTGCTCGGATCTTATGTTCAATGTTCGAATCTATAAGTACTATGTAAAAAAGGTAATAAGTTGAGAAACAATTAAAGTCGTGTTATAGTGTGAATGCATTAAGTTGGCGAAGTGTGATTATAGTCAATTATATCTAACATAAGACAATAGTATAAGACTTATTGTATTTTTTAAACACTACATTGACTGGATCGGTTTGTTTGTTTGTTTCGAATTTCGCACAAAGCTACACGAGGGCTATTTGCGCTAGCCGTCGCTAATTTAGCAGTGTAAGACTTGAGGGTAGGCAGCTAGTCATCACCACCCACCGCCGACTCTTGGGCTATTCTTTTACCAACGAATAGTGGGATTGACCGTCACATTATAACGCCCCCACGGCTGAATGGGCGAGCATGTTTGGTGGGACGGAGATTCGAATCCACGACCCTCAGATTGCGAGTCGAGCGCCCTAACTACCTGGCCATGCCGGGCCTCGCTGGATCGGTATCATATTCATGTCAACTCCATACTTAAAACAACAAAAATTTTAAGTGATACGTTACTTTTGTATTCCTTCTAAAAACACTTGACAACAAATGATGGACCTGTTCTTCGTGTGGTGGACTTCTAGTGGTGATCTGTAAAAGCTACATACTCTTGCGTGTAAAAGCGCATTCGCACAATCAGATAAAGAGTAGAAAACACCTGAAGGAATTCCACTGGAACAAACACAACATTGCTACCACTTTACTGATAAAAGAAATATCTGTAAAAGTAAAAACATGTTACAAATTTAGTGTATAGGAAATGAGAAAAATTAATAAAATTATAACTTTAAAAGTAAAAACATGCTAGTAATTTAGTGAATAGGAAATAACAATATTAATAAAATTATAACTTTAAAAGTAAAAACATGCTAGTAATTTAGTAAATAGGAAATAACAATATTAATAAAATTATAACTTTAAAAGTAAAAACATGCTAGTAATTTAGTGAATAAGAAATAATATTAATAGTCTGGAAATCTATAAGTCATCATTAACGTTACATCGTTTTTATTATCTTATTAACCATACCAGCATTTTCCATCTTTTTATTTTAATGTATAATTTTTCAAAAAATTTTGTTTGTCCTGAATCTGTACTATTTTGCATCCGATACATGGTCCAGAAAATTGTTAATTTGACTTCATTGTAGCTACCCTTGTTCCGTTGTCATCCTATGAAGATAATATTTGTTCTGTCCATGGATAGTGCGGCTTTAATGCTGCACACTCTGTTAGAATGTAGACAACAACTAGTGTCCTCCAATGACCAAATGATATCTAGAGCAACGGTCTTCCCTAGGTTGAATGAGAATTACAGTCTCGCGATAGCACTAGTCGTTATAGGCAAATCCTACTTTCCCCATTAAATAAAAGACGTTTGATTTATACGTTTATGGAATAGATTGTGGTAGAGTAAACATCGCTCCTGATCTTAAATGAAATGGTTGACGGGAAGAAATCTTAATGAAAGAAATCCAGTTGATCAATTCACGAACACAGTTAGGGGACGTCGTGAGCCAGCCCAAGCCCCGGGGTCAGTAATATCACCCCCCCCCCCTTTATACTATTTATGAACTTTTGCTGATTTTTCATAAAAGAAATTTAGGTGACAAAATTCTTCTTGAATCCATGAAAATGCAGTAACCATTTTAACTCATTACTTCATAATTTATCATGGTAATCCTCCCGTTACAAAGTGGGACTACCTAATCCTCTATACAAAAATAACTTTGACCTGAGAATACCGCACTATACATAATTTCATCGCAATGACCTTTGGGTAAAAGGAATTTTTTTCTTGTAATCGTAGCTTTCATTTTGGGGATGAGAGTATTATGGTACAAAATCAGAGACAGTTGCCGTCCTAAGCTTCTCGCTGTGTGAGTTTTTCTGCTTTAAGAAGAACATCAAAGTCTCTCTTCTTAGAAATATTAGTTATTTAACTCTACATCTCGTAACAGTTTCAATGTATGAGCATTTCAATTGAAAAAGGCTTTTTATATCCCTCCAGCCATATGTTTACCAGTGACGGCTTCGTGTTGTTACGTCTCTGGTCGT